TCCCTGTCTGGAGGCCTTTCTGGGTGGAGTTTGCATGTTCTCTCTGTGCATGTATGGGTTTTCTCCGGGTACTCTGGTTTCCTCTCACAGACCAAAAACATGCATGTTAGGCTGATTGGTATCTCTAAATTGTCCCTAGGTGTGAGTGAGAGTGAATGGTTGTTTGTCTCATTTGTCTCTATGTCCCTGCGATGGGCTGGAGACCTGTCCAGGGTGTACCCCGCCCCTCACACAGTGATTGCTGGACATGGGCACCGGCGACCCCCGTGACCCAAAATGGAATAAGCGGGTAAAGAAAATGGATGGATGGATTTGTTTTATCACTGAGTCCTCTTCTTTTGTCTTTCAGTTGCCTACTTCCTTCATTTTTCTAAATTAAACAACACAATATACTATTGTGGTCAGGTTCAATAAATAAACAGATACATTTTGGAAAAAGATAACCAAAGTCCAAGTAAGCAATTAAAAAAAAAAAAATTTTGTTTTAATAATATTATTGATCAATGCCAATTTAGAATAGTACAAAAAAAATAAAGTCTGGCAACTTGGATGCAAACTCTTCAAAAAAAATAAAAGATGAGATTTAAACTTTTAGAAAACCTTTTAATGAAAGAAACTTTGAAAAACAAACGGAGCGCTTGTCCCAGTGTACTGCATGGCACAACCAGGAGAGCATGTTTATGAATGAAGCAGAAATTTGACAGCTGTTCCACTTCCTGGTTGTTGCCATGACAGCAGAACTCAGCGTCGCAGCGCGATAAAAAGTTCAAACTCAAGACATTGAACCGACTCTGTGCTCTTTATTAAATCCGATAACTTATTATACTAATAGCAATTATATATTATTAAAGTAACGTACTTAGATTTTTATTTAAAAAGAAAACTTGCACGATTTGAGTCAAGTCGGTTTTTACGACAATAGCGCTGTTCATACGGCAAAAACCACTAGGATGCGTCATCTGTCTGACGCCTCGGCTCAACCATAAACTAGTCAGCTAATGATTGACAAATAAGAAGGTGAAAATAATTCAGGACATCTGTACATCTCTTCACAAGGTCAGACACAAAGCCAATACTTTTAGACAAACAAAAAAAAAGTTTACGGAGGAGTAAAAGTCACAACATGATATTTTTACGCCATAAACAGCAGTTAAATCTGGCTAAAGATTTAGCCAAACTAGCTTGTTGTAGCTAACGTAAACATTGTTGTAGCTGACTAAAATGTCAGGACAAGACGTGCGATCTGTTCTGTTGATAGTTACGATTTACCCGAAAATAAGATGCTAGCAGGAAGCAGACTGTATCACAGCTGACAGAAGTGGAAGAAGAAAGAAATGTGTAAAGAATAAACTACAGTAGGATGTTATGCTTCTTACCTAATGAGTATCAAAATATATATTTTTACAAGAAATAAACATTTTAGGACTACAATAGTTTTTATTACAAGATTTAGATAAATAAAATAAGGGGAAAAACAATTCCAAATAGAGGTTAAAGAAAACATTTAACTGCCTAAAATGTTATATTCAGTATTTATATTGTAACTAATTAACATGCTAATTCACTCATCATTAATAAAAACTGACCTGGCAATCATAATGTAATTCCAAGTGTCAACAATGAATGACTGGATATTAACAAAGAACTCTTCTATTTTTAAAAATAAAAAGCTGAAATATAAATTATGACTAGTATCGACTACATTCTAGGCATCTGAAAGGTAAGTTTCACTAAGGAAGGTTTCATCAGGTTTATTGTAAAAGGAATAATCAACTTGTGTGAATCTGGAGCTGAGATTCCAGCTGACACGATTTAGAAAAATGAAGTAATTTTTTTCCTAGAATAACATGAGGGAGATATGAAATGTTGATTCTGGACAGGCAGAAAGCCTTTCTGGAAATCTGAAATGCTCTTCTTCAGTCCAGTCATCCAGCTAAACCTTTTAAGCATTTTCAGTTATCTTAAAATTAGTTTTTTCCCTCATTCACTTGCATGCTAGTCTGCCTTCAGGCCCACGCTTCCCTGTGATCCGAAAGGGATTTGCTTTATTAAATAAAGGTTAGTAAAATAAATTTCTCTTCATTTTACCCCATTTTTCCAGCAACAATTCACAACAAACGCCATCTCATGGCAATAATAGGCAAATTTTAGTTTTGGAAACCGTAAAATGAGCAGGGAAGTTGTTTTCTGTGTCTTTAATTTTATTTTTTGGCTACATGTTATTGTTTTTTAAAAAAATAACAAGAGATGGGAATGTGGTTTGACTTTATTATACAACAGCCTGCCATACATCCTCTGTAAATGCTTCTGTGCTCATTTGTGTGGTTTTATTTCCTTGCAGGCGCAGCATGTCCAATAAGTCTGATGAGACCTCCTCTGAAAAGAAGCACACCTTCACTGAGCACAAGCTTCATCATGATGCAGACCCAAGCAAAGAAAGGTAAGAAGGCTGGGGGTTTTAGTT